ATATTCAGTGAAATCAATCACCTAGCACAGGCAACCCGTGCCTATAAGCTCATCGCGGGTGGGTTCAACGCAATGAACGAGCGGCTGCTCCGATACTTATTTGTCATAACCACCCGAGACGTTTCACTGCTGCTATTGGGCGACCTAAACTTCTTAGAGGTATGCCTGGAGAAAGCCTTGGCCCCCGGGAACACGTTCGAGCGCTGATTGTTTGACTGGGTGCAGGAGAACGCTCTTGAACTACATGTTGAACAACCCACGAAATGGAGGCCAGGACAGGAACCGGGACTGTTGAGCCTCGTGTTCACACTATACCCGTACGAGATGGAACAACTCACGTTTGGAAGGAGTGATCACGAGGTATTTTCCTTAAAATACGTACTCAGTGTGACGAAAATGCCCCACAAGATGCATCGAGTGTTTAGAAACATTGATCCTGGGGCTCTAATCAGAGTAACCCTTCATCAAGAGTGGCAACAGGAGTACGAGATGGTAGAAGAGAAATGGGGTGCCTTCAAAGCAAATGTCCTATATATAAGTTGTAATTTTGAAAACACAGAGATGTCGGTACAGGTGAAAATAAGCCGACGTTTTTGTTACCGTAGGTAACGTTTATCAAGTCGATTTTACAATCAACTGTCCTATAACTCGCAGACCTTTTGCACCATTCCGCAGGATAGACACAGACGACATACATCTCCTCACATCTTGCTACCATCCGTATGCAGCGCAGCGGTTCGTACGAGCACATCTTCGTCTGTCTCCACAGCATTGATGATGCCCATGAGCCATTTGCCACGTTTTTCAGTTTCAGATGCTACCAGTACGATGTCACCTGTTTTGAAATTGCGATGCTTCGAAAGCCGCTTTTGTCGCACTTGCAGGGTTGGTATGTACTCCCCCATCCATCGACATCAGAAGTTAGTAGAGAAGTGATTGACTTGTCTCCGCCGTCTAGTATAACTCTCCGTCATTTTTGGGACTTCTAGGTTTTGACCATTCTCCGTAAACAACAATAAAGTGTTCGGAGACAGTGTTTTTCTTTCCTCATCATCCATAAGCACGGCACTAGCCACGCCATCCGGTGGGGACGATTATAGATGTAATGCTTGTGTAATATAGCTCTGTAAGAACATGGGCCCCTCTAATCATGTCTCTAGTTCTCTTTTAGTTGATATGCCTCTGGAAGCGAGATCAGCAATATTTTTTTCGGACCGGATGTGACGCCACTGGGACACCGTGAAGTTCTGATGGATGATTGCTAACCGATTGTAAATGTAAACGTGTTGAAGTATTTTCTATGTAATAGTTGACAATCATGGAATCCGTCCAGTACCATACCTCGCTGACCATCTCCAATAGAGCTCCTTTTATCACCTCTTATATCTGGATTCCGAGGACTGCCGCAGACATTTTCGGTTGCGGTATGTATACGGGTTTAATAGGTGCGACTGGAGACTTACTGAATAGTAAAACGCTGTAAGTCGGTTTTCTTGCTGAAACACACCACACGTGGGCGACGGCCCGATAAGCTATCTCGGATGCATCACAGAAAAGATGCAACTCTGTTCTCCCTCCTTTTTCCCAGCCTTCGTTTCTTTTTGGGATCTTGATCACTTCTAAACACCTAACAAAGCGTACTCAGCCTTCCCAAATACTGGCATTTACAGCATTGAGAGGTTGGTCCCAACCCATTTTGGATTTACACAAGGTTTGCAACAATTGCTTTACTGGGAGGTACAGAGGGGCTACAAGACCTAGCGGTTGGAACCAAGAACTGACGCTGGATAATATATCTCTTCTTGTCACTGCCTTATCTGGTAGCTGGAACTGGAACGTAAAACGTCCATTGTTGTGTCCCACTGCACGCCCAAAGCTCTCTGGCAACTGAAATCAAATTGAGGCAGTTGAACCGGGTTGGGACTAGTGCTGTCCTCCGCGAGGGATTCTAGAAAATAGGGTGAATTGATAACCACTTTCTCAGCTTAAAACCACCTCTTCCCAATAGTTCGGTTATTTCCTTCGCAAAACGCAAGGCTTCATTGCATGTCCTGAACGATGCAAGACAACGTAGGTTTCTTCCATAGCTTTTAGCGCCGCACGCCCATAGCCACCACAGAATTCTCGTGCAGCCCTGTTCAAAGCAAAGTTAGCAAAAACTGTGAAGAAGTTGCACCGAACGGGTGAGCTATTATTTGGTATTCCTCGGGTTCTTTGAGTGGGTCACCCTGTGGCCACCAGAGAAACTTCAAGGCGCCTCTATCACGTTTTTGGCACTTTCACTTGCATGATCATTTCTTCTATGTCGGCTGTAACAGCTACACGTTCTTTTCGGAATCGCAAAAGTATACCCACTAAATTCGTGGTGGTGTCCGGGCCTTGATATAGCACGTCATTTAACGATTGCCCCTTGTGTTTGGCCACAAATTCCAAAACTATACGCAGCTTTTCCGGAATTTCGGGTTTAGTACTGCATGATGAGGCAGGTACCAACGCGGATGAAAGTCGCATTGTAACTGTTCCCCTGAGACTGGCACGGTATGTCCCTTCTCTATAGTCATCTTCATCGTTTGTACGTAGCGGAACCGTAGCGACTGGTCATTAATTAAGGGCCGCTTCAGGCTGTTCAACCTCGAGAGCGCTGACCCATAGTTTCCCATACCGGTATTGATACCATTCTTCCATGGCAGAAGGACCATGAAGTGCCCTCCGACGAACATTGTAACGGACTCTACAATAGCGATAGCCTCCGTATCGTCTACGGAAATGCCTTGATCTAATAACTGGGCGTCTGTAAATTCTGCATCATACATTCGCATTACCTGATGCATTAAATTTGAGTCTTCTACAGTCAAGCAGTTGACCGATTAATCAGCTTATGAATGGGTAATTCTGTTATAACAACAGTTTGCTCCACATATACTGATTTCGTTTCACCTAGAGGAAGTACCTGAAAAGGAACCGCTAACAAAGTTCGCCTCGATTGATACACTCAGTGTTGTTGTTTTTGAATGGTTTCTTTGTTGGTTTAGCCCCAATTGGAATAGTGCACTCGCCCTAATATGTGTCGTATTCGATCCAATAAGCCGTAGGGCACACCCGATAATCTCTTTTAATCCAGCTCTTATTTTGACCGGTAATAATCCCATGCTCACATTATTGGTCCGAATTCTAGTTGCTTCGCAGTGACCCTCACAGATTGGTTCATGCTGTGTGCTTAGGACTCTCTTGACGATGTGAAGTAACTTGTGATGTCTACCTCCGCAACCACTCACGTCACAAGTGGCCTTATTACTGCAGTCATTCGCTCGATGGCTTCCCATTAAACATATAAAACACAAACCGTTTATTCGTGCCTTGTCCCATCTTTTCCGTGGTATTTAACTCCACAAAACTGGAACAAGATAAAATCGGATGATTTTCTGCACAAAGTGCAGATCGCTGTATTCGTAGATCGTAATTATTCTTGAACAAATTTACGCTATTTTAATGGAGGTTGACACTTACTCGGAGTTTGCAAAGACTGGACGGATCTATTGCTTCCTCTGCTTCGGTTAGCAAGTTGCCCAAAGCGACTTGAACTTGAGGTGAGTTGGTGCAAGGTTGAAACTTTTGAGTGCTCGCTCTGACAATTCGTTTTTTGAATCTAAAAGTGGTTTATTTTTACATTACCCACCGCTTTGTCTGCTATTGATCCTTTTTTCTTGTACCCTTGGTATCACATTTCTGGCCGCGGCTCCTAGTGTCCCAGCGATCAAAATTTAGTGCGTAATATTGTTGCGTACTCTACTGTATTTCCCATTTAGTGCTTTTTCGTATTTTTTATATACCATCACTATACCACAATTAACTCTTAAAATGGTAGCAGCAAATAACGGTACTTTCCCAATCCCAGATATATCTGTGGTCGAGGAAACTTTACCTATGCGTCTTGACAACACGGTAATCAACACTTCCCAGTGATACAAAACAGGATAATCTTATCACAGGACGTGGTAATCTTATGTCTAAAGATGAAAGTTACCAAACTGGAGGCTGAGGTGGTGGAGGTGAAGTCACTATTTGTAGGCCTCTCTCCCCAAATCGGAGCCAGTAAAATGACCCTCAAGATATCAGACCAAATCATCTTGGACACCACCAATAAGCAGTCTGAGACAGAAGCATGCAGTAAACGCACGATAATCTGGGGGAGGTTTCCAGAAGGAACACCCTCAGCTCAAAGGGTGAAGAAAATTCTGGATAGCCTCAAATCACTGGAGATCCTGAATCCAATCAGGTGTTCATATCTTCGAATAAAAACCAAGAAAACGATCACAAGTATCGTGGTCGAGTTTAACCAGAGCGCAACAGTGTGGCACTGTCTTGCTCAGGTGAATATAATCAAGATATGTTCATATGTCACAGGTGTTGCAGACGACATTCCTCTTCATGTCAGAAAATTTGACCAAAAACCTGGTGGCGAAAAAAAGATGAGGAACTTTGAGTGCGTGCCGCAGTCAATCTCACGCGACTGAATATTGAGAAGTTAGCACAAATCTTCTCTCCCACAAAGGGCAAGAATCTATCCATCGCCCAACTAGTCGCCAGTACCCCTGACGATATAACCTCGGATGAACCAATCATAGTTGGGATCCTCAACCGCAAGTTAATATCATTTATGAAACCATCCCACGATCCAGAAAAGGAGGTCAAGGACCCAATCAGGGTGCCCATCATTCGACCACTAGCTGAGATGAAGGGGCTACTAGGTAATCCACTGTATTTCATGCTGAATGTTTTGAAAATCCTTCCCAACTCACATTGACTTATGGTGAAATAACGTTATCTGTGTTGCTGCTATATTGACATTTCTCGATCACAAACACCATACATCATTATTTATCTGTTAATTCCATGCCCGGTACATTTGAATTTTGCTTTGTTTGCGAATGTGAGCGACTGTTTGCCTCTCTATGGACACCTTATTTGGCTCGCTTGCTTGAGTGCTCTCGGCCGTATATTTGAGGTTTGCTTTATTGTAGGTTAATTCAGTACCGTAGAACATTGCGGATAAATTGTGTTTTTTAATTCGGGATTCGTATCGGTTCGGCTACGCGTCACTCAAGTGCAAATTGGTTGACGTACATCCACCACCCAAGAAAATCACTTCAACTTTTACCCCGGCCAAATCTATATCTTATTTCTCCAAAACTAAAAAACAAAGAATAGATCTTTCTGCGCCAAAATCCGAAATATTGGCAAGCGTCCCCAGCTTGCTCCCAGAGCGAACGCTACGACAGGATTGTAAGGAAAGTAAGAGGCGCCAAACCCCTTCTCTGTCCCCAGTAGATCGCTCTCGCCCACCAGACGGAGCGAAACCCCTAAAAACTGGCAAGTAAATCTCGCCACTACGCAAAATGGATGCCAAACACATGGCACCACCGTCCAGCACGCTCTCACTGGTGCCAAGACCCCCTCGGAACAAAACTGTCAAAACACCCCACTCCAAAACTCTCCCACGACCCATAACACCCTACTGAATCTACTGAAATACATGATGTACAGGTGCTGAAGTGCGTATCAACCCATTGCCTCAGTACAACTAATAAAATCCTTGAACTGCGGCAATGGGCGCGCGAGACCAGAAGCCACACGTAATAGCCCTAACTGAGACGTGGCTCAATCAAGAGACAGTAGATGGTGAAATAATAATAGCTGGTTTCACCTTGTTCAGACAGGACTCAAACCGTGGCCACGCGGGTGGAGTGGATCTCTTTCTTAATGATTCCCTACCACCTGCTTTGCGTGTTTCCCTTCCTACTATCCGATTGATTGAGACCCTATGAGTCAACATCGTCTTCCCGAGCAGGTACTTACTCCTCCTTGGGGTTGCTTATCGCTCCATATCAAGCACACAGTAAGGATGTCAATCACTCCTAACTCAGCCTTGTGATCTCCGTCACACCTGCACTTTTTCACACCTTATCCTGGGCGACTTTAACGCCCCGATTATCGACTGGCCCAGATGCCACTCCAGATATAGAATTTTTGCTGCACCCCTTATAGACCTCTTCAGTGAACACTCGTGGTACTAACACGTAGTATCTCCCACGAGATACCATATCGACCAACGTCCCTCCTTGCTTGATCTTGCAATTACCAACGAAAGACGCCATATTGACATGATCTCGTATCTAAGTCCTGTTGGTAAAAGTGATCACCTCCTGCTATCCTTTAACTATGTTATCCGCTGGCCAACATGCGGGTCCTCTTCCAGAATACTACGTTCATTCAAAAGGGCGGATTTTGTTCTCTCGTGAGAGTTCCTGGCCAACAGACTGGGTTCCTGCAGCGTTGACACTATCCGGAACAACCTAAATAAGTTGCTGAAGAGTCTAATTTACCAAACAAACCACTTGTTTATTCCTAGATTTTAAGCTGTATCTGACCATAGACCTCCTCTACCCCGCTGAATTCGGCACCTAATGGACAAACGGGCGCATGAATTCGCCAGATTAAAATGCACTGGGCTCGAAGCCGACGCTGTCGAGTTCAAGCGAATCCACAGTCTATGAAAGCAGAGTTAGAGAATTCCACAATAAACAACAGAAAACAATTCTTCTTCGTGCCATAAGTAACCCTAATTCCTTGTTCAAGCCACTCCGCCGTAAAAGGCAATCAACCCCCTCTGCACTAGCCCTCGAGCTACCTGAAGGCTCTCCTGTTACCTCCTGTGCTCAAGTAGCTGAAATCTTCCTGTCTCCTTATGAATCCGTCGTTAACTTTCCTCCTGTCTCTTCCCCCAATCTTCTCCCTCGTAATACACCACCCTCATTAGAACATTTTATAATTCTTTCAGGAGAGGCAGAATATCTCCGCAAATCTCTGAATCCCTTTAGTTCGATGAGAACAGACGGTATACACCCTCGAGTGTTAGAAGAAGCCACCTCGGTTCTTGCTCCGTACTATTCCATCCTCTTTCAAAAGTGTCTAGATGCTGGAATATTCGCTTCATTCTGGGAGAGAGGCATAATATCTTTCCAATTTAAAAAAGAGGACCGACACAATCCAAGTAGTTATAGACCCATTAGCCTGACTAGCATGCCAAGCAAGGTCTTCGAACGGGTTTTAAAAAGAGCAATTCTAAAATACTTAACAGACAATCAGCTTTTTTCCCAAACCCAACACGGCTTCCTCCTTGACAGATCCTGCATCTCCAATATGCTATCTGTCATGGACAGTCTAACTCAAGCCCATAATGACGGCTTGATTCCTCACGCAATCTTCATTGACTTTGCAAAAGATTTCGATCGTGTCCCAGGCTCCCTTACTATATAAGCTCGAGTCATATAGCCTCAGTGGCAGACTCCTCGCCCTTCTTCGGGATTTTCTCACGAACCGCACCTTTTCGGTTCGCATAAGTTCATTGCTCTCATCTGACTCTACCATTTCTATCGGAGTCCCGCAAGGTTCCGTCCTTAACCCCCTTCTCTTCCTTTTATATAATAATGACCTGCCACACAGGATCGGAG